TTCTTCCTAATTGACTCAAACCTTAACTCCACTTAGCATGTATTTGGATCTTTATATAGTACCCTAATTACTAAGTTACCCTAAAGAGATAAAAAGGATTGAGATAATGTGATTTAACTGTAATGGAGTAGACACTGGCATAGTCAGGGAATTCCTAGCCTAGAGTTAAAATGAAGACCAACGGAAAAGTTCATTACTTTGCAGACTTATCTGGTACACTCTCAGAGTTTGCAAACTGAAAACCTAAAGATCAATTGGTTCTGTGGGTGAATTTTATTGGCCTCCAGGTGTTAAAAAAATATTAATTCAGTAGCTAATACTTAAAAATTCAAATAAATATCAAAATTTCCAACATTTATTTAAAACTCTATGCTGGATTTCCAGTTACAGAAACATGAAGAGATTGGCAAATTCCGTCCACAAAATCCAAGTATAAATATGGAAAATACTCTAAGTAATAATTTCCCCACTTGTTATGGTTTAGATGTTGGGTGTCCCTCAGAAGTGCATGTGTGAGATGATGCAAGAAATTTAGAGCTGAAATGATTGGGAGTCCTAACCTAATCAGGACATTAATCTACTTGACTGCATTAACTGGGTGGTGACTGAAGGCAGGTAGGGTGTGGCTAGAGGAAGTGGGTCCCTGGGGCATGTCTTTCAGGTATATATTTTGTTCCTGAAGAATGGTGCTGTCTTTCTCTGCTTTCTTGTGGCAATGTCCTGAGCCACTTTCCTCTTCCACACTCTTCTGCCATAATGTTCTGCTACAGTCACAGAACAATAATAGAGTTGGTCATGTATGGATTGAGACCTCCGAAACTGTGAGTCCCAAATAAACTTTTCCTCCTTTAAAATTGTTCTTGTTAGGTCTTTTGGTGACAGCAATGAAAAAGATGACAGAATACCCCTCTAAAATATAATGTACACATTAGTGAGAAATTTATAGATGTCAATGTTTGCTTTTAAGAAATTCAAAGGAATCTACCAAACCAAACCAAACCAAATAAACCTTTTAGAACTAATAAGCAAATTTAGCAAAGTTACAGGATACTAATTATACTGCTGTAGTCTGATAATGAACAAACTGAATATGAAATTAATAAAATAACTCCATTGTAAAATACTTAGAAATAAACTTGACAAAAGAACCAAGACCCAGACAGAAAGAACTATAATACACTGATGAGAAAAACTAAAAGTAATGTAAATAAATAAATGGAGGATTTTTTCATGCCATAGATTTTGTTTGAAATGGAGTTATAAGAGAAAATGGGGAAGGGCACAGTGGCCAAGATTGTGTTCAATCCCAAAGTGAAGATTTGGGTAGCAGTCCCCTTTCAATAGTATTAGTTTGCATCCAGAATGACTCCCAAAATCTTAGTCACCTGCTGGTGGCCTTATCAGGAGGTGGTGGAAATTTTAGAAGGCAGGGGATAATTGCAGGAAGTAGCTCTCTGACAGAGTGCCCTTGAAGGGTATATTGAACCCCTTGTCCACCCCTCTGCTTTCTGGTTGCCAAAACATGAGCAGCTTTGCTATACCACATCATTCCCTGCCATGATGTTTTGCCTCACCACAGACCTAAGGGCAAGGAGACAACTGATCACAGACCAAAATCTCTGAAATGATGACCAAAAATAAATCTTTCCTCCTTTAAGTTGATTTTATCAGGTATTTTGTCACAGTGATGGAAAGCTAACAAACAGAGTAGTATTTTAGATTTCTCCACAATTTCTATTACTTCTAGTATATCTTACATGTCTGGGTCCACTTTGCTTATTTTGTTATCTGACTGATTCCTGTTAAGCAAGTGTCCTCCATCTCGGAGAAGCAAGGATGCCTTTCTGCCCCTCTCTGGTAGATGCATGTCCAATGGCAGCTCTCTCATTAGAAATTATATGTAAAACATGCATAATTTATATAAAATAAAGTCTAAATTTTCTCTCCTGGCATAGTGATTGGGTGATTAAAATATGGAAAAATATATTGGAATTTTTATATAAAGTTGGGGAAATGTAAAACATTTTATTGGCATAATTTTGTAATATTATTTATAAGATCATTGTATAAGTAAGGACTAAGGATCAGAGACTTCTTGTAATCTGTTCAAGGTCACATAGTTATACAATCTTCTTGCTAAAAAGGGCACATATATTGTGCTTACAAAAGAGTCAGAAAAATTAGAATGTCATACCAAATCTTAAAAATAAATCAATGCTGTGGAAAAACTTTTTCTTTTTTCTGGATCTCATGACGCTTACAGAGCTATGTGGTTTTCTCTTTTAAGACTTGGCTAGATGTCTTTGGTCTTATACCAGTGAAGTGGAGAAAGCTGCAAAAACTCTGAAGCAGCTGCTAAAGTAATTACAGCATATTTCATTTTTTGAAAGCTAAGAGTTTCTCAACTTTGAGGAGGCATAGTTCAAACATAGATAAATTGGTCTTGTTTGGTATTTGGCTTTATCTACAGCTTTACAGTTTCAGATACCAGAGAAGAAATGTTTACATGTTTATGTCAAGGAATATTATAAAAGCTTAATGTATCATCTCTTCTCTTGTACTAGATCAGAGTGCTCAGTCACTAATGCAGAGTGATTTAGGATTAAAGATGAAACATTCATTGTGTTGCTGTTTTATGTTCCCAGACCTACCTTGTTGTACTTTGGAATATGAAGCTGTCCCTCTGACCATTTAGAATAAACAAGACTGAGGCAAGACTTTATCAAAGGCATTTCAAAGTCTATAGCTAAACAATATGAGTGGCCTACTAGGCCTGTCTTATTCCTCTATTTTTAGAACTTTAACTGGGTTTTTATAATTACCCATAAAAGTCCCAACTGGTGGAGGTAAGGCAGGAGCTTGAGGCAGAAGCTTAAGGCAGAAGCCACATCCTGGTGGCTTGCCTGCTAGGTCCACCCTACAGATGTGTTAGATTTTGTTTGGCCTTTAAAGTGTTTAAAGAAAATTTTTTTCTGAATCTTGTAGAAAACATTTTGCAATCTGAAGAATTCACAAAAACATCTCAATTTCCTGTTTCTTTTGAAAAATCGGATTGTTTACCCGGGGTGCACAATCCTACCCTGAGTAAAAGCTGCACTTTTTATTACTAAAGGACATCTAGTTCACCTTTTGCCAATCTGCAGGGGGCTGCCTCACTCATTTATGTTTCCTGCTGGTGCCTAGATGTTTGAAATATTTGTGACCCTGCAGATGCATTGACTTTTCCAATGGACCAAAGTCTTTAAAGTCATTTGTTGTTTTGAGTTGCAGACAACACACTTATTCCATTTGTTTTGTCAGGTTCAAAGCCACTTTGGAAAGTCTCTGTTGAGTTGCTTTTAGAAGTTCTGACACTCATTTGATCAATCTCAGTGAAGCAAATCCTTGAATCTGACTTCAGGAAACAGTCAAAGCAAGATTTGAAGCCAAGTTTGTGGTAAGAAATAATGTGTGACTACGAAATAGTGAAAACCTGTTTCTGTTGGGTGGTTTGTAAGCTGACTCAAAGGTAACAACAATAAAATAAAAGTTCAAAAGTGATTTGAGGGATGGCTTTTACATCTTTCAATGTCAATTACCTTTTCTATTAATTGTTCATAATATCCTATGTGTGGTGGCTCTATAATGCATACATGACTTAGGTTTTGATTTTTTTTTTTTTTTTTTGGTACATGTTGGCCCCACTTTCTCCTCTTCACCAAACTGAAACCATTTAAGGGAAAAAATATATTTTTATTCATTTTTAAATATGCTATGCATATTTGGAGGTGGCAGATTGAAGAGTTCATTATTGAAGGAATGAATGAAGTGCATCCCAAGTTGACTATTTTAAAGGGGACAAAATCCACTTTATATCTGCTAAACATTCATTCTCTTTTTAAAACATTTGCATATATTCCCGTCAGTGAAATGAATAAGAATTTAATTGTTTGGGGGTTGTAGGACTTTCCTCAGTCACTGAAGTCAGTTGAGAGTCACTTTTCCTTTGACAGGAGACTTCCCTGCACACTGTGGTTTTTGCTGACAACCAAGGAAACGTGCAAGTGGTAGAATCAAAGATGAAACAAAACACATCTAGAATCACAGCCGCTGGTTCATGGTCTAGTTAAAACATAAAGCTTTCAGTATTTCAGACTGCTTTAGAATTGTTAATATTGCTAACCAAGTAACAGTGTCACTCTCAGGAGAGCACATCGCTGACATTTCGAAACCTTCCATACAGAAAGCCAAAAGGAACTAGTAAGTAAATACATTAAAACAGAAGCAGCAACAAAGCTCTAGAAAACACATAAAACCATGGAAAACTAAACATCCCATATATATGTGTGTGTGTGTGTGTGTGTGTGTGTGTATGTGTAAACCCGTTTATTTTAAGGTTGAATCTCCTCTCTTGGAGTAGTGTAGCCTAGGAGGTAGGTAAGCAAGGGCTTTGGGAGAACTCTTGTTTTTTTTCCCACGTGGGAGAACAAGAAAGTCACCCCGCCCCCGACCCTACCGGTTCATTTGCATTTCTCTCCAGAAACACACAGGTCTGTCCCGAGACTCACTCCCCTGCCTTTGAGAAGCTGGGAGCGCCTGGGCCATGCATCCTTCTCCTCCTCCTCCTTGCTCTATTTTGGGGCCCCATGATCTCATGCCCTCTGCAGACCACACTCTGCAATTCCAGTCCAGCCCGCGCTGCGGGGCCACGCAGGGCGATTCCTGCAAGTGTTCGCGGTGGCCGGGGCGCGGGGAGGGGAAGGCTTTGGGGAGAAGTTAAAGACACGCCCACGTGAAGGACTCAAAATAACCTACACGCAGAGTGCCCGAAATCAGACAGGAAGCCAAATAATCCGGGGCGTTGAGTCGCTTTCCCTTCACTTCGGGCGCTGGGCGGAGGGACGGCAGCCAAGGGTCTGACGGTGGGGCGGCGCGGCACGGCGCGGCGCGGCGGGCTGGGGCGGGGCCGGCGCGGAGTCTATTAAAGGGCACTGGGAACAGCGGGGCCGGAGCGCCCGGGGCCACGATGGAGCGCGACGGCTGCGCTGGGGGCGGGAACCGCGGTGGCGGCGGCGAGGGCGGGCGCGGCCCCCGGGAAGGCCCAGCAGGGAACGGCCGCGACTCGAGCCGCGGCCGCGCCACCGATGCGCCCGGAGACCCGCGGGCGGCCGCGTCCTTGCTGGCCCCTATGGACCTGGGGGAGGAACCGCTGGAAAAGACGGCGCGCGCCCGCACCGCCAAGGACCCCAACACCTATAAAGTGCTCTCGCTGGTAGGTCGGCGACCCGGCCTGGCGCCCAGGAGGGCGGGAGGTGGGGCGCGCAGAGCTCCTTCTCTCGCAGCGCGGTCAGCACCCGGCCCCGGAGAGAGGCAGCCTCTGGGGCGCTTCGCTTCGCCTGCACACCCACCTTTGCAGCTGTGCCAAGTCTCAGCACCGCTTTCCCTTCTTTTGGCGCCAGCGATATGTTTCACTCCGGATGCTCAGGAGGGCCTCAGTATGAATCCAGAGTGTTAAAACCGGTCCTCTTTAGAGATATCACTTTCTTCCCAAGAAGAGCCCAGGGTTTTTCGAGGAGGAAAAATGAGCAACCTGAAAGTTGTCGGTCTTAGGAAGGTGCAGCAATGTTAAACCTCTTTTGGTGGCTCTGGCTCGGGATGCAGTACTGTAGTGATGATTTAGAGTAACTGATTCCAGTTGAAAAGATTCAACAGACCTCTTTTCTGAGTTTTATCAGGAACTTTAGAAAACACTTTTCGTTCAGCTCTTTAGGTATTTCTTGCAGCTGCTCAGAAATTCCATCAATGTTAACATTAAGTGACTGTGATTCTTTGCCCACTCTAACCTCAGGCTACGCAATCTGGGTTGCTAATGTATAACTACCTATGGTCCCTTCGCTATTTTGTCATGACAGTTGCAGGATCCACAGTTAATTTTCTTGAAGTGTGTGGTTGTTTTTCATTCTAAATCTTTGGTGGCCAGAGCTAATCTTGGGTCAGAAGGCCTGGGTTTCATGGCCATTGTTAGTTCCTGGGGCCTTCCATAATTCTTCCCTACCTCACTTTTTTTTTTTTTTTTTCTGTGTTAAAATGAGGTCGTGGAATCTCTTGGACATTGCATAGATTTTTTGTGAGGATCAAATGGAGCAATGTGTGTGATAAATAAGATCAAAACCAAAAGAAGATATAATCGTTTTTCTTTTATTAAGTGGAAACCACAGTTCTGTGTATAGAGTACTAAAATGTATTGTCACACATGATGATTGAACATAATTTGTTGTAAGACGTCTTTTCTGGTGTTTGAAGTCTCCTTTTTGTAGTCATTTCCAATGATATTTTAGGTATCATGGTGACATTACAGTACTTTGAGCCAAAATTCCTAGACTTAAGAGATGTTGTCATATCCTTAGTACTTAAAAATAAGCCTAAGGTTCAAAGAATAAGTGTCCCAAACCACATGATGTTTGCATCTCAAGATATATTTTTGTATCAGATGTCATTGTTATAACATATGGTATTGAAGAGAACTTGTTTCATTTGAGTCTAGTGGATTTTTTTTTGTTTTTATTTTTAATGAAGACCTTTAGCTTTTACAACATGATCATTTAAATTATTTAGTATTACTACCTTCAGGTGGTTTTAGCATAATATGAGGCAGTCAATAATTATCCATTGAATTTTATGCAAGTCAAATGTAAAACCATTTCTACATGTCTGTAAGTCTTGAAAGTTTTCCCAATTGCTTAATCTTTATATCTTCCCTGCTCATTTACCTACTCTCTACCCATTGAGAATCCACAATGGGTATCCACAAAGGTCCACCTTTGGAACAAAGGTTTTAGTCTTTGACACCTGCACTCAGCTGGTCAAACAGCATCCCATATGTTTTTATGATGAACCTTTGCATGGTTGAGATGGAAGTGTCCTGGTACTTATTTCCTCAAATAGGACTACTAGGAATATTTTTTGTATCCCACTAGGTGGGGCCTTTTTCTGTAACCTATATTTAATTCTTACTCCAGATCTTTTGCTGGAATCCCGAGAGACATTAAAATATAAGTAATCACCAAGCTCATTGTCTTATTCTTGAAACTTTTTAAAGCTGAATGTGAAGCCTCTTCTATATTCTTCTTTCCCTACCTAACTTCAGTACCCTCCTACCTCCAAATCTTTCCTCCAAAGGAATTTGACAGCTATTATCAAAGAGCACTGTGACACATCTTCTAGAGAAAAACTACAGTTAGAGAATTTCTCTTTTTCTCTCTTTCTTTTTTCAGATTAAGCATTAGCACACTTTTCATAAAGCTGAAGAAATAGGTTGGACTGATGCATCCTGGCGTTGGGATTAAGAGTACCCACTCTACCGCTACTCTGCTTTAATCCAGCAGAATAAGCATGAGAGTTGCTTTGCAAATAGATAATCAATCAATGGTAATGACTTTTGCACTTTTCTGAAATTTTCTCAGTAAACTGAAAGGATGAGGGTATGTAAGAATATATAAAGAAGGGAATATCTTGTCCTACTCTTGCTTCTCCCTATGTGGTGTTTGATCCTAGGAAAAGACAAGCAAGCTCTATTCTAGAGGCTTTTGGCCCTGGGTCCTGGAAATGCTTCTGCCTAGGCACTGAGCCAGATTGAGGAAAGCAGAAAGAGGAAAAAACAAGTATTAGTTTCTATATGCCTCAGTAGATATGTGTGTCAGTCAGCTTTCTGTCACTGTAATGAAATACTGAGGTAATTAAGATACACAGAAAAAAAAAGTTTATTCAGTTTACAGTTCTGGAGGTTCCAGTCCAAGATCAAGATGCCATTGCTGTGGGTCTCTGGTGAGGGAACTGATGGTGTTGGCATGAAGCACATGATAGAGCAAACCACTTTCATCATGAGCCAGGAAGCAGAGAAAGAATGAGACCTGAGTTTCACAATCCCTGCAGAAGGCACCCCCACCCCCATGATCTAACACCTTCAATAAGGCCCTGCCTCCCAATAGGGCCACCCTGGGGACCAAGACTTTAAGCTCATGGGCCTTTGGGGGACTTGCAACATCCAAACTATAGCAATATTTTAAATACTAGATGTTTTTCCTTGGTTCCAAATCAAGTTTTGAAGTATAGACTTCTATTCAGGTTGGATTTGGAGTTTCATTTGAAATATCCTTGTTCCCTGCATGATTTTAAAGGGACAGGAAACTTTAACTGCATTGCAATGTATTTTTTTCCAGTTAGTTCTTCTGAAGCATTGTTTTGTTATGTTGTGATCTTCTGCTGTACTTATGCAAATATATGTCCATGTGTGTGTCAAAGACTTCATGTATAGGTAGTGATCAATGAAGACTACTTTCACCTTTCCTTTGAAGAGTTTCTTTTAAGAGGTGGAGTTGGCCTTGGTTATCTGAGATTCGGGTGTGAAGGTTAATAATTCCCTCAGCTTCCTTCCCTTTGCCTTGTGATCTGTTATCACTAGAATACAATGTTAATAATACTCATGATAACTCTATGCTCTTAATTAGATTCAGAATTGACATGGCTCTTTGGTTAATGAAGATTTAATAATAGTATTCATGATAACTCTCGGTTCTTAATTAGATTCAGAATTGACATTGCCCTTTGGTTAATGAAATTTAATATCTGTCAACTACAGTTAAGCATTTTATTTTAAAATGGCCAGAGCACCTTGGAGGTCAGAGCTGTCTGCTCTTTGCCCTTTATGGTATTTATTTCACGTGTTCTAATAAAATGCACCAAGGATTTCTAGGAACTCAGCTAGACTGTTGTTTTTACTTCTGGTTCTAAAATAGTACCTGTGTCATTTGCTGCTAAGACAAATATCTGGAGAAATGCAACTTAAAGGGGAAAGATTTTTGGGGTTCAGTTTCAGAAGTTTCAGTCCAGGGTTGACTGGCTCCATTGCTTTGAGCCTTGGAAGTGCATGGTGGAGAAAAGCTATTATCTTATGGCAGCCAGGAAAAAGAGAGAGAGAGGGAGAAAGAGAGACAGATAGACAGGCAGACAAAAGAAGGGGCCAGGGACAAGCTATAGACCTCAAGTGCATGCCCCTGTGACCTGCTTCTTCTAACCATGTCCCACTTGTCTGTGGTTTTTGCTACTTCCCACTAGTCCATTCAAATTAATTTACCAAATGGATTAATCCACTGATAGAAGATAAGATCTGGATCAGAGCCCTCATTATCCAATCATTTTCTGAAAGCCCCACCTCTGAACATTACTTCACTGGGGACCAAGCCTTTAACATATGAGCTTTTGGAAGACATTTCAAATTCAAACCATAATAATACCTAATGTGGTTCAGTGTCAGTGTTTGGTTGGTTGAATAATCGCTACATTTTTAATTAGAGGGAGTCACACTTCAACTTGTAAAAGGGCAAGATGGGAAGACCAAATATATAACATGGCCTCAAAGGTTCCACAAATTCAGAAATCCAAATATACATGATCTGGGTATAGTTTCTCAGGTAAGATCAGAGTGGGAATAACAATTTATTTGGGCAGAGGGAAATGAAACAAGTAATGAATGAACAAGAGTTCCTGACTGAGGCCACATGTCTAAGAAGATACCAGACAGGGCCTCAGTGATCATTTAGATTCAGAATTAGAAATCTAGCTGCTGGAAATTTTTTTCAAGTAGAAATAACCCAAATGAGGATGCACTAGGATATTCAAGTAAGGACATTGTATAGGTAAAATAAATCTCCCTTACCTATGCCAAGGCCTCTTTTGTTTTGGTGACTTTGCTGCCATATCCACATTCAGTCTTTATAACTCTTATGGGCCACTGTTGCCTCCAGCATTGCTGTCTATTACTTCTTTTCTTCTGCATTGAGTCATGCTCTGTGATTTCTCTCACACGCATTTGTATCTCAGCTCTTTCCGCTCCATGTAGTCTCTTTCTACGGCATGCACAGCCTTGCTTTGAATACCTGTCTCATTTCCCTTCTGTGCTGCTTGTCAGTTAATTCTCAGTTTTGCCATCTCCTATCCCCATCATATACTAATCAGGCCTTTGAAGAGACTCCCTGATGGCCATGGGAGAGACATGCATTATGCATTCAGTATAAGAACAACTGAGGCTATTTATCTTTGTAGAATATTTGCAGAAATTTTTATCAGCTTCTCATGTTTCTCCTTCTAACTCTTTTCTCTTAGTTTTCAGTAGCTAAGGTAAATATAATAGTTTTATGTTCAATTTTGTTTTGTAATACCATTGTAATTTTTAATATTAATGAATGTATTGCAACTGTAATGGGCAGGTATTAT